TATATATATATATATATATATATGTATGTATGTATGAACTTCTTGCTCGCCCTACTCTTCCACTTAGACAGTACCACTTTACTTCAAACTCAGTCCTCTACCAGTGACCTGGGAGTTTGAGGATTCTGTGCTGTATCTTAGCTGTGTCTAGGACTGCATTCTTTTGGCCAGGGATCTCTGAAGTTGTTCCTGGGATCTGTTGGAGCCATTCTTCCAGTTTGGGGGTCACAGCATCATGTGCTCTAATGACCACTGGGACTACTGTTGCTTTGACTCTTCACAACGTCTGTATCTTTCAACCCTTGGTATTTTTCGAGCTTCTCATGCTTCTTCTTCTTGATGTTGTAGTCACTTGGGATTGCCACATCCATCATTATTAACTTCTTATCTTGTTTATTGAATACTACAATGTGTGATTGGTTAGCCTGTTTGTTGGTCTGGATTTGGAAGTCCCACAGTAGTTTAGCCCTGCCATTCTACACCACCCTTGGTGGCATCTACCACTTTGACTGTGGGACTTCCAGTCCATACTCAGCACCAATTATGCTTTGCATGTCTGGATTTTGCATCCTGCTATTATGTGTTGAACTGTCTCAGGAGTATCTAGGTACAGCCTGCATCTTGGGTGTAGTCTGGTATGGTAGACCCCGACCTCTATTCCTCTTGTGCTGAAGGCCTGTTCTTGTGCTGCCATGATTAGTGCCTCTGTGCTGTCCTTCAGTCCAGCCCTATCTAGCCACTGGTAGGATTTATTGATAGCCACTGCCACTTCTTCAATCTGTCAGTGGGGGCAGTCCCTGGCAGTCAAAGATGAGCCCCTACTGTGCAGGGGCTCATTTTTCCGTGATAGCTCCTTTTGTTCCTCCTCTTCCAAATTGGGTTTCTGCTGCTGACTGAGACATTCACCCATCAGTTCTTCAATAAGGGCTTTCCTCCTGATGTACTCCAGGAACTTAGTTGTTTCATCCTGTATAGTGGCTCTGATAGGCTTACTTTCTGCTCTGATGTTCTTCCTGTCTCATGAAGAGTCCTGAACTGTAGCTTGTAATTGTAAAAAAGGTTTTTGTCCATTTAGGTAAATCTTACATATGCTTATGAGACCAAACATTTCCTATGTATGGTTTTGACGATGATGAGTGGCGGGGATCTGATGTATCACATACACAAAATGGGAAAGCATGGCTTAGACATGGACAGAGTTCATTTCTATGCTGCAGAAGTCTGTTGCGGTTTAATTCATCTTCACCAGAATTCAATAGTCTACAGGTAAGTAAGGTCTCACATGCATTTAGTTTAAATATCTGCTGATGTCAAACGAGGAGGCTGATATGCTGTGTCTGATCTTTCAGGGATCTAAAACCTGAAAACATTCTCCTGGATGACAGTGGTATGTAGGAACACAATGTGGATGTTTTTAGAGATAGGTTTGCAAAAATAGCTTGTTTGTGTTGATGTAATGTACAAACCGGATTCCAAAAAAATTGGGACACTAAACAAATTGTGAATAAAAACTGAATGCAATGATGTGGAGATGGCAAATGTCAATATTTTATTCGTAATATAACATAGATGACAGCTCAAAAGTTTAATCTGTGTAAATGTAACATTTTAAAGGAAAAATATGTTGATTCAAAATTTCACAGTGTCAACAAATCCCAAAGAAGTTGGGACAAGTAGCAATAAGTGGCTGGAAAAAGGAAATTGAGCATATAACGAACAGCTGGAAGACCAATTAACACTAATTAGGTCAATTGACAACATGATTGGTATAAAAAGAGCTTCTCAGAGTGTCAGTGTCTCTCAGGAGCCAAGATGGTAAGAGGATCACCAATTCCACCATTGTTGTGCAGAAAGATAGTGCAGCAATACCAGAATGGTGTTACCCAGCGTGAAATAGCAAAGACTTTTAAGTTATCGTCATCAACCGTGCATAAAATCATCAAAAGATTCTGAGAATCTGGAACAATCACTGAGCGTAAGGGTCAAGGCCGTAAAACTCTATTGGATGCTCGTGATCTCCGGGCCCTTAAACGTCACTGCACCTCAAACAAGAATGCCACTGTCAAGGAAATAACAGAATGGGCTCAGGAATACTTCCAGAAAGCATTGTCAGTGAACACAATCCACCATGCCATTCACCGTTGCCAGCTGAAACTCTACAGTGCAAAGAGGAAGCCATTTCTAAGCAAACTCCACAAGCTCAGACATTTGCACTGGGCCAGGGATCATTTAAAATGGAGTGTGGCAAAATGGAAGACTGTTCTGTGGTCAGATGAGCCACGATTTGAAGTTCTTTATGGAACACTGGGATGCCATGTCATCCGGACCAGAGAGGACAAGGATAGCCCAAGTTGTTATCAACGCTCCGTTCAGAAGCCTGCATCACTGATGGTATGTGGTTGCATGAGCGCTTGTGGCATGGGCAGCTTGCATGTCTGGAAAGGCACCATTAATGCAAAGAACTATGTTCAGGTTCTAGAACAACATATGCTCCCATCTAGACGTCATCTCTTTCAGGGAAGACCCTGCATTTTTCAACACCATAATGCCAGACCACATTCTGCAGCAATCACAACATCATGGCTATGTAGGAGAAGGATCCGGGTACTGAAATGGCCAGCCTGCAGTCCAGATCTTTCACCTATAGAGAACATTTGGCGCATCATAAAGAGGAAGGTGCGACAAAGAAGGCCCAAGACGATTGAACAGTTAGAGGCCTGTATTAGACATGAATGGGAGAGCATTCCTATTTCTAAACTTGAGAAACTGGTCTCCTCTGTCCCCAGACAGTTGAGTGTTGTAAGAAGAAGGGGGGATGCCACACAGTGGTAAAAATGGACTTGTCCCAACTTTTTGGGGATTTGTTGATGCCATGAAATTTGGAAACAACAGATTTTTCCCTTAAAATGATACATTATCTCTGTTTAAACTTTTGATCTGTGATTTGTGTTCTATTCTGAATAAAATATTAGATGTTGGCACCTCCACATCATTGCATTCAGTTTTTATGCACAATTTGTTTAGTGTCCCAACTTTTTTGGAATCCGGTTTGTACAAAAATAACTTGACATTCCAATCATTGCTGCGGAAACTTTTGTCAGACATCAAGTGGATATTTTTAGCTTTGCAAGTTGTCAGATTGGGAGTCTTGCCAAACAGTCACTCATGTAGCCAACTAGAATAATTCATTATATTCACATACCTTTTTCTTGAGGAGGAAAGAGCTTGGACTAACAGTTTGAGGAAATAAAATGGTTGTGGTAAGCAAGTGAAGTGTTACCTAATACACATTTCTACATTTGTTTCTTCATTTTTGCCTGAAGGCCCTTGTCGTGTGTGCTTTTCTTTATTCATTACTGGTTAGAGTGGTGTGAAAATGAGTCGTAAGAACAAGTATAGCAGAGAGAGGTGGAGAGGGGGTGGTGTTGAGGAAACAAAAAGTGCGTCACAACACTTAAGAATCTCAAACATGAGACTAGTTCAATGGATTTCGCTTTGTATTTGTCATGAAGGACACATCCGCATCTCTGACCTGGGCTTGGCTGTCAGACTGTCTGAGGGGAAACTGGTGGGAGGTCGAGTCGGCACATTGTTTTACATGGGTATGTATACAGCTTATATTTGGTTGGGATTCATGGTGCTGTTCTTAAATGTATCAACTAAGAAAAATCTGACAAATTCTTCCATTCTAATTTCAAAAACCTCTCCCTCTGTAGCCCCAGTCAACTGTGGAGTTCCTGCAAGATCCATCTTAGGGCCCTTGTATTTATATTGTACATGCTTCCTTTTGGGGTTTTTTCTGCACAAACCATATTTCATTTCATTATTATATAGAGAATACACAGATTTATTAAACCTGGAGTAATAATAAATAATAATAAAAAGATGAGATGCAGGATGGCTAGTCTGGGATGCAAATTTTTAGTCCTAACACTTTTGTAAAGTTAGCATCTTACTTATTGCTCAGTTGGTCTTCAGGATCATGCTAGGAATCTTGTGTAAGGATGGCACCCTCTTGTGGCTATTACTCATCCTTACACTCCCTGATTTAGAGCTGTCATTTCTAACCTGAACCCGAAACCCAGCCTGGACCGGCTCGGATTAGGGCCGAGCCGGGCCGTTGTGATTAATGGGCGGGCCGGGCCGGTCTCAGGTTTTTAATTAGGTCAGGATTAGCCGCGATCCAATTATATGATAACACGGCCTGCCATACATTCACCAGCCACATGCGGCCATTTCACCACGAGCTGACTGGCCTTGAATGAGGTACAAAGTTCAGTTATGCTTCAGATGGGACTGTACTGCCAGGCAGCATTTCATCGTCCAAATGGACGTTCATTCTGCCACTGCACTCAGTGGACGCGTGGCTGACGATTCAAACAGGTGAGATCCCAAAGCAGACGCATGTGTCAGAGCTGTCCGTGTGTCTCAGTAATTCAGAAGAATGCAGGCAGAAACGGAGTTTAAAGGCTTTTTTATGGCCATCAAAGGACAAACACCTCTCAGCTCTTTTTGGATTCAGATTTTTTGGGCCCGAATGCAACGCTACCCTGGTTTCCCTGTAGATTATTCTGATTGTCAGTCAGAGTCAGAGAGATTTATTTGTCATACACACCACTTGTGTCGTGGAATGAGATTATGTACACAGGGTCCCAGTTACATCCCACAATAAAATGTAAAAGAAAAATATCAATAAGATCTAAGATATGAACTGAAAAAACATCAACTAAATATGCACTAAGCACTAATAGCATAAAAACAATATGACCAACAGTAGCACGAATATGTCTGTGTGAGCAGATGAGCATGAATGAAGACAGCAACATGAAACAGATCAGCAGCACCTACGTGTCCTGTCCAGGTGTGTGTGATTGTGCCTTGTTACTTTGTGTGTATATATAAGTCTGTGTCTATGTGTTACTCGTTGTCTGGGCATCGTCTAGTCTTCGTCTGGTTTCCTTCCTCGAGTCTTTGGTTATTCCCTCATGTGCATTCAGCCATGTAAGTGTTTTGCTGCCACAACTTATTATTTGAATTCATTAAAGTGCTTCTTATTTTCCTCCCTGGTTCTGAGTTCTGCCCGCACTACTGGGTTCTACTCCAAAACCACCACTCCTGACAGTATGCCCAGACCATCAATGGAACCCAGCAGGCAGATGACTCGAACCGATTGGACCGCCTGGTGGGGGAGAGAAATTAATCAAATTCAAGAAGAAGCGGCCATCATCCATTGGAGTGGGTTCCAGATCAAACCCGTCTGGAGATGCCACAGCCCCGAAATGGAGATTCTCCTGTCACCCCTGTTACGCCTCAAGGTCTCAGGGGGTGTAACATAAAATGTGTCCAGAGAAATAAAAGATGGAGTTGATTGATTTTAAAAGGGGTTTATTACAAAGAAACATGTTTCACAGACAAATACTTGTTGACCCAACAAACTTGGACATATCAAAAAAATATACTAAAGTGGGTCAAATGCTGCCTCAACAATTAAGTAACAAAAATAAAAATAACCCAACAAGTCAGTCCAGTCCAGACTCAAAACAACCCAAATAAAACAACATTAAAGGTTCATAAAAAACTTTCCAAGTACAAGTTTCTAAATTTGACACAACCAGTCAAACTCAAAACCAAGCTACTAAGCAGAGGAAAAAGGGATCAGGAGTACAAAATACTTTAAAGTTGCCCAAACAGTCCTCGAAAGGCTACAACAACCAAATTGGGGGTCAGCTGTGCAAAACGTCTGCCTAAAACTGCCCCAAAACATTCCTCAAAAGGATGGGCAGCTGTAGCTGAATGGTAAGAGCAGTCGTCCTCCAATGCAAGAGTTGGGGGTTCAAATCCACCAGCAGTCACATGCCGAAGTGTCCCTGGGCAAGACACTGAACCCCTCATAGCCTCTGATGTGTGTCCCATCAGTGTTTGAATGTGACCTAAAGAACTGATTAGTCTCATTAGAATGATTTCTTCAATTAGCTTTGTAGAGATCTAGTAGAGTGCTGTATGAATGGATAAATGAGGACACAGATTGTAGTGTAAAGTGCTTTGAGTGTCTTGAAATAAGATAGAAAGGTGCTATATAAGTACAGTCAATTTACCATTTACCATATACAACAAAGTGGGGGTCAGCTGTACAAAAACTCTGCCTAAAACTGCCCCATTGAAGGAATGATTCCAGGATCCTTTTATAGGGTGCAGGTGGACCTCATCATCATCTGATTGGTGTGGCAATCTCTTGCTGGTCCAATGGTGTTGCTGTTCTGCAGCCTCCTGGCACCCTGTGAGCTGAGTGTGCTCCCACACCTGAATCTGCATAAACAAAGAGAGAGACTGCACAGCCTCTAGAGGCCAGGGGCCATAACAACCCCTCCTAGTGGAGGAGGAAGAGAGGAAGAGTGTTCAGTTCCGAGGCAGCGGCCTGGCTCGCAAGCAAACGTGAGCGCCAACTCACCTAAAGGGTGCACAGGCTCAGTATTTTCCTCCCTAAAGGGTGCGCAGGCTCAGTATTTTCCTCCCAGGCTCTGATCGAGGTGGCAGCTTTTTTTTCCTCCCCCGTTTTTCCTTCTTCCTGCTCTGCTCTCTGTCTGTCTGAAGTGCCTGGGTCTCATCTCCCGAACATAAATTAAGAAGATTATGGATTTGGTATCGTGGGCGTTCAACTCTATTGATAAGATTTTTTCATCAAAGCGACAAGGTCCTGGAGAACCGGCTTGTCCAGCTGAGACTCACGCTGTGGGGTACATCATGGATTTGTGGGGAGTGTGGCAGATGATGTGTCTCTCAGTCCTGACTCAGGAGGATGTTGAAGACGTTTATATATTTGGAATTATGATAGCAGGGACTCTGCTTTTTGGCATCAGCGGGGCTCTGTTTTATCGACTTTTGAAGAAGACATTGGCAGCAGTTTCGGCCATGGAAAAGCTTCCGAGTCAGTGTGAAGGACTGGTCCTCGCTGTGGGAACTTTGAATCGTCTGGTTTACAAGCTTAACTGTAAGGTGGAGGCGATTGAGAATCGCAGGCCACCTGCGGCTTCTGGGACTCATCAGCATGGTGGGTTTGACCTTGAAGGAGACTCATAGCATGGATCAGTGGAATGGAATCCCACAATTAGGCATTTTTGGAACCAGAACGCCCAGATGGACTCAAAGCTGAAGAAAAAAGTAATCTGTCTGCCTGAAGTAAAACAAGAATCAAGCTTATTTCAGACTCCCGACGGCCTTGGAGTCAGAGTCAGAGTCAGAGTCAGAGTATCTTTATTGTCATTCGCACCTCATGTGGTACATGTGGTGGAGCGAAATTATGTACACGGGGTCCCAGTTACATCCGACAATAAAATGTATAAGAAAAACAGTAATAACATCTAAGATATGAACTAAGAAAAACATCAACTAAATATACACTAAGCACTCATAACATAAAACATTGAACATCAGCACAAACATGAACATGAGTCTGTGAGCAGATGTGCACGCATGAACACATCAACATTGAAACAGATCAGCAGCAACATGAAACAGATCAGCAGCAACATGATATGGTTTTTCACAGTGATTATTCTGGTTAGAGATTCATGAGTCTAACAGCCTCAGGGTAGAAGCTGTTCCTCAGTCTAGTGGTTCTACACTTAATGCTCCTTAACCTCCTTCCTGAGGGGAGTGGGGCAAAAAGTGTGTGTGCTGGGTGGGTGGGGTCCTTCATGATGCAGGTGGCCCTCTTCCTGCATCTGGAGGTGTAGATGTCTGTGATGGTGGGGAGACTGATTCCAACAGATTTCTGTGCAGCCTTCACCACTCTCTGCAAAGCTTTTCTTTCTGCAGCTGTGCAGCCTCCATGCCACACATTGATGCTCGAGCACAGGATGCTCTCCACTGCACACCTGTAGAAGGAGGTGAGGACTGAGCTTCCCAGACCAGCTCGCCTCAGCCGTCTGAGGAAATAGAGTCTCTGATGAGCTTTCTTGATCAGGCTGGTGGTGTTGTTGCTCCAGCTGAGGTTGTCATTCATGTGTACACCCAAGTACTTGTAGCTGGAGACCACTTCCACCGCAGATCCTCTTATGTTCAGGGGGATGTAGGTGTTTTTGTTCCTTCTGAAGTCCACAATCATCTCCTTTGTCTTCTTCACATTGATGTGAAGGTTATTCTCTCTGCACCAGCTCTCCAGGTGTTCCACCTCTTGCCTGTAGCTGGACTCATCATTGTTTGTGATGCATCCCACCACCGCTGTATCATCTGCAAACTTTACAATGTGACAGCCTGGATGGGTAGCTGCACAATCATATGTGAGCAGAGTAAACAGAGGGGGGCTCAACACACATCCCTGAGGAGAGCCAGTGCTGAGGGTTATGGTGGAGGAGGAGAGGTTGTGGATCCTCACTAACTGTGGTCTGTTTGTTAAAAAGTCTAGTACCCAGTTGCAGATGGAGGGGCTTAGTCCTAGTGTGGATAGTTTGTCCATCAGGGTTTGGGGGATCATGGTGTTGAAGGCGGATGTGAAGTCCACAAAGAGCATACGGACGTAAGAGTTTTTCTGCTCCAGGTGGTTGAGCGCAGTATGGACCACAGAGGAGATTGCATCCTCTGTTGATCGGTTCTCACGGTATGCGTACTGATGAGGGTCCTCGTTGATGTTGATGGTTGTTTTGATGTGAGTCATGACCAGTTTTTCGAAGCATTTAGCGACTATCGGGGTGAGGGCCACTGGCCGATAGTCATTCAGACCAGTCACTGTAGAGCTTTTTGGGACTGGGATGATGGTGGCAGTCTTCAGGCAGGTGGGAACTGTCTCCAGGGTAAGTGAGGTGTTAAAGATGTCTGCCAGCACCTCACAGAGCTGATCAGCACATTCCTTCAACACTTTTCCGGGGATGTTGTCTGGGCCAGTTGCTTTGTGCGGATTAATCCTCCTGAAGGTACTCCTTACTTCGGCTGAGGTCACGCTGAGATGCTCTTCATCCGGTGGCGAGGTGAGTCTGGTGCTGGGTGGTCTGTTCGGGTCTTCAAAGCGTGCATAGAACTTGTTGAGGGCATCAGGCAGAGATGGGTCTTTGGGGCATTGTTCACTCCTTCCTTTATAATCTGTTATGCACTTAATGCCCCTCCACATGCTCCGAGGGTCTTGTGAGATGAATTGACCCTCGATCCTCTTTGCATATGTGGCCTTGGCCCTCTTAATACCAGCAACCAGCTCTTTTCTTGTCCTACTCAGCTCCTCTGAGTTTCCAGACCTGAAGGCAGTGTTCCTGGCTTCCAGCAGGGTACGCACCTCTGCATTCAGCCAAGGTTTTCTGTTTGGGTAGCTTTTAACATTTCTGATAGTGGGGACTGTGTCAGTACATGTACTAATGTAACCCAGTACTGAGGATGTGTATTGGTCAAGATCAAGCGAACCTCCATTTTCAGCAGCTTCTCTGAAAACCTGCCAGTCTGTTCGATCAAAACAATCTCTCAGTATGGGGCCACTGTCCTGGCTCCAACATTTAACTTTCTTTTGTACCGGTCTGGAGCGTCTCAGCGGGGGCATGTAAGCAAGAGCCAGGAAGATTGAGATGTGGTCTGACAGTCCTAGGTGGGGGCGGGGTTCGGCTTTGTATGCATTTTTTACGTTCGTGTAAATGTTCGTGAGACAGGCCGACTATCAATTTCTCCTGGGACATGAGAACCCAAGGACAAAAGCTTCATCTACCCCCCCCCCACCCCCGCCCCCCACACCTCCCTGTCCAAGCTTATCAGAACTGTCTGCTGAAACAACATCTTCAGAAACTGTGGCTGATCTGAAAAACGCTCATGGACAAATCTCAACACCTTGATGTCAAATGCAAATGTAATCATGTTTTAATTGTGCTTGCTGGTAGAGTTTTTTGATGTCTCAAATCGTGTCCTGATAGACAAGATGTGAAAGATCTTTTTTGTAATACCACTATCTACCCTCATGTTTCTACCCCTTTTCCTATCTAAGATTATTATCTGATAAGGATAAAAATGGCCACGCTTTCTACAGTTGCAGCTTTGTGCACTCCGCCTATCTTTTGGACGACTGTACGTACATATTCGCGTTGTACCTCGGTGCAATTACAATAAAGTTTATTCTGATTCTGATTCAGAGAGTCCTGTATCTGCAGAGTCAACAATGTCCACAGAGGGCTTCTCTGTTAATATGTCTGATGACGTCACTGCTGTTTCCAAACAGCTTCAGGATCTTTATGTTGCCGCCTCCATCAACCCAGACTGTCGTTTTAGACACAATGCATTCTTCATCATGGAGACACTGCTTTTGTCTAAACCAAACTTGATTCTAATCTCTAAATTCTTCCAGATACTGCTGAAAGTCAAGACTTAAAAATCTGTACCAGAATCCTCCTAGCTTATCTCCTTCCTGTGTTGCTGTGAGGTCTGGCCCCAAGACCTCACCACGTCTGCTGTTCCGAGGGGGTCCTGAAGGACGTCCCCCATGTCTGCCATTTCAAGGGGGTCCTGGAGTATGCTACCCGTGCCTGCCATTCTGAGGGGGTCCTGGAGGACTCCCCTTATGCCTGTTGTTACGAGAGGGTCCTGGAGGACCCCTCTCAAGCCTGTTGCCCTGGAGTCTCCATGCTGACCACAGAGGTCTCCACGCCAGCCCCTGAGTGTTCCATGCCAGCTCTTGAGTGTTCCATGTCGGCCCCTGAGGTTTCCACGTCTTTCATGGGGTGTTCCATAGCAGCTGCAGCCTCTTGGGTCACCATGCCAGCTACAGAACTGATGGTTCCTCAACTCCTTTCTCCCTGTGCTAGATGGTCAAGGACTCTCAGAGTGAACGTCACCATCGGCCACCCACCTGAACTTGCGCCATGTACTGGATGGCCTCCCACCCGCCCACCTGAGCTTCTGCCCCATGCCGGACAGCCACCCACCAGAACTTCTGCCATGTGCTGAATGGCCTCCTGGCCACCCACCAGAGCCACGTCCATTTAATGAACAAACTCACGGTCGACCACCTGAACCATGGTTCCATGATGGGTGGTTTCCTGGCCGCTACTCCCGAAATGTTGTCATAGGCTGGGTGGGCTCCTACCCACCTACTTAGACTCTTTTCCATGTGCCTTATCTATGTCTACTTCCCAGGCTGCTTTCCTGTCAGTTTTAGGTTTCTTGTCCTTGTGTTTTCCTCATGCCCTCCATCCTTTCAGTTCCTCCCTCTGCCCACCCTAGTCTTTTGGGGTGGGCTTTCTGGGGAAGCCAGGGGGCATCCTTGTGGAGAGGGTACTGTAAGGATGGCTCCCTCTGGTCCCCATCCTTACACTCCCTGGTTTCCATGTAGATTATCCTGATTGTTTTCACCTACGTGTCCTGTCCTGTGTGTGATTGTGCCTTGTTACTCATGTGTATATGTCTGTGTCTTTGTGTTACTTGTTATCTGGGCATCGTCTGGTCTTCGTCTGGTTCCCCCCCCCCCCCCCCCCCGAGTCTCTGGTTATTCCCTCGTGTGCATTCAGCCATGTAAGTGTTTTGCTGCCACAACAGCTTATTATTTATATTCATTAAAGTGCTTCTTATTTTCCTCCCTGGTTCTGAGTGCTGTCTGCACCACTGGGTTCTACTCCAAAACCACTCCTGACATCTTGTAGTCTTTTTTGACAGTAAATTAAGAATTTATTAAATTTGGTAAATTATTTTTTACAACTGTAAACTGAGTTCAAATTGGTATCAAAGAGCCGGTATCTATCATGTTTCTGCGGTATCTGGTGTTGAACCTAGGTGCAGGCAGACAACAGAGATTCAGAAGTAGAATCATGAACTAATTTATTTACACAACAAAACAAAAGCTGACGGGGCAGCAGACTTACTTTTTTCAGTGAGTAGACGAGGAGGCACAGAGGGAGACAGAACATGAAGCCTTCATAGGACAATCCATAGACAAAAGAAAAGACACAAGGACAATACAGACACCAACGAGATAGAAAGACAAACACCTGGAGTGATTAGAATTAGACACAGGTGAGACAGGAACTGAACCACAAGGATGGGGAACACTGGGGAGTGCATAAATCACGAGGATACAGAAAAGACATGACAAAACCCAGAAACCCCACAGTACCTCCCACAGCCCCTGATGTTCCAAAACACTCTACCCAATATGGGTAGGAGGAAAGGGGGAAAACAGGGTGGAGGGCACGAAGAACACAAGGATCAACGAAAAAAAACTGACAGGATAAGCCTGGGACCTAAACACATACAAAAAACACAAAAGTTCAGGTGGACGGTCAGGGGATCGCACAGGAGCAAGAGTTGGGCGGACAGTCAAGAGACTGTCCAAACCGGGGCAAGAGTTCTGGCAGATTGCTTGGAGACCGTCCAAAGCAGTTTCTTTACAGAAACTCCTTTATAAATAAACTACAATTTATTGTATACGACCAAGTAATTCAATCATTTTTAGCCAAAATAGTCTTAGCAGTCTACTTTGATAAAATACAATGAAAAACCCAGAGCTGATCTTGGATTACTTTTTTGTTTAGACTAAATCGACATTCAGAGCTTTAACAATGTTTTTTTTTTTCTCTCCATTTTGTTTACAGCTCCTGAAGTGTTCGGCAAAAAGAAATATGGTACAAGTGTAGACTGGTGGGGTCTGGGCTGTCTGATTTATGAGATGATTGCAGGTCAGTCTCCATTCAGGGACAAGAGGGAACGTCCTAACTCCTCAGAGATGGAGATAAGAATACAAACAGTCAATGAAGACTACAGTAACAAGTTCAGTGTGGAAGCTAAAGACCTCTGCAGTAAGGTTAGTTCCACAAAACAAAGTGCTTAACTCATAACAACAGTATCTAAAGCAGACAGGTTACTTGTCCTGGCAGCAAAACCCAAGAAAATACCTGTTTAATTAGAAAATACCGTATTTATTTCCCAAAATGTGTATCTGTAGTCACAACAATCAAGTACGGTAGTTTTGAATTGACTACACTCTTACCCTGCCAGCTTTTAGATAGCCCTACTAACAAAGTACAGCAGGTTTGAGTGAATGGGATCATAACTAGCAGGCATTTAACTATACTGTAGGTTAATTCCAAGGTTACAACATATACTTAGAAAGCTTCAGTGTCTCAGAAAGGTAATTCAATTATTTTTCTGATGACACAGCTCAGGCTCAGGCTATAAAATGCTTACCACTTTTTTTTTTCAAATGATTGATATAAATGTATCAGAGAAAAAGGAGTTGATCACTAATTTTTAGGTGGACTAAAGACACACTCAATATAAACATTAATCATAGGTTGAAAGTGTGAAATATAAGGTGTTCGATCCTCAGTTTAAGGCTGATTTACCAAAAATCTGATTGCCAAGTGGGGTCAACAAAGGACATTTCATGTACATAATGCCAGTTCATGACACCAGATGTCAGTATGTGTAGAGCTCCACCATTGCCTGCCACCTCTCGACCTTGACTACTTTCCCATGAAGACTTTACAGCCTTGACACAACCAGACTCCTAGAACTAAGGCTCAGCTACCAGGTGCTCAACAGTGAGATACCTCTCAGGTCTGGCTCAATGAGGTGCCTTAGTTTCCCTGTTCAAGGCAAGTTAGCATGTTTCCCATGGTCTTCCTTCATCAACATCTTCAAATGCTCTTAGACTGACCCCTCCCCTTAGCCCAAAGATCATGTGAATATTTAACACAATAAAGTGGTAATTGTTTGCCTCAAGTTGAGACGTTCAAGTATCTGAGGTCCTTGTTCATGAGTGATAGCAAGATGAAGCGGTAGATTGACTGACAAATCAGGATGTCATCCCCAGTAATGAGGGTATTGTTCTAGTCTGTTCTAGTGAAAAACGGAGCTGAGACTTGATTAAGATACCTTCTGAAAGCCTCCTTCTGGAAGTTTTCAAAGCACATTTCATTGGTAGGATACTCAGGGAAACCAAGAACCCATTAGAGGGATCAATCTCAAAGATATCTCTGGCCTGAAAACACCTTGGGATTCCTAGGAGAGAAGCTCAGCGGAGAGGGATGGGGCTTCCCTCCTGGATGTATTGCTTCTGCAGCCTGACCTTAAAGATGAGAGTTGGTTTTTTTTTTTCAAAATCTATTGCTTCTGATTTTAGGGCACAAACATGGATGATATTAATTTTAATACAGTACCTGTACATGTTTTAGAGATGTGCAGAGTTTGTTATTTAGTGGGGAGTTTATCCCGTTTTTGAACATGTATAAAAAAAATAATTTGTTCTTTGCCATGTTAGAAGCAAATGAGGACTTGTAGGCTACAGATGAAATATAGTCAGATTAATAAAGTTGTCTGACTGACATCACTATGATCCTGGAACTGCTTGTACATACATGCTATGAACTGCTAGTGTGCACTGGAAAAAAATACTGTCTATTTTCTTTGAGGTATTAACATGTTCACTTTGTTGTAGCTGTTGACCAAGGATCCAACACAACGGCTGGGTTGCCAGAGTTCAGGAGGGAAAGAAGTGAAGACTCATTCCTTCTTTAAACAAATCAACTTCCGAATGCTGGAGGCAGGACTGGTAGAACCACCATTTAAACCTGATGCAAGTACCTTTAATGATTTGCAACACTTTAAATGTTCAATGTATACCTATCGCCAAAGGGTTTTGGAATGACTCGAGTACTGGTTTTCAAACAGTTTCTGCTTTAGTGTTTTTAGATCTTTTGTCAGATGTTTCTATGATATACAGTACTTGGGCATAATTACAAGCATTTCACAAGTTTTGCTGAACTACAGTTTTACTGAACTATGTATATTGTTGTGAAAGAGTAGCTTATTTTTCAACAAATTTTGCTAAAGGAGGAGAAGAAATGTATTTGGTTCACTCCGGTTTGGTTTATTTGTCATATGCAAAATCAACACTAGGGCAACAATGCAGTGAAATGTTTAGTACGAGAAGAACCATCTCGACTCGTCGCCAATTCAATTCAATTCAATTCAGTTTATTTATATAGAGCCAAATCACAACAAAGTTGTCTCAGGGCACTTTACAGAAACATTCACATACATAAAAGCCAATTAGTAAAGTTCTCTATCTAAGGAATCCAGCAGACAAGTTGAATCTTGGCTTCGTTGCAGTCTCCCATCCTGAGCAAGCACAGTGGCAACAGTGGAAAGGAAAAACTTCCTTTTAAAAGGAAGAAACCTCCAGCAGAACCAGGCTCAGGACAAGTGGCCATCTGCTTTGACTGGCTGGTTGAGAGGACAGGAAGGAGAGACAGACGAACACAGAATGGTAGGTCCAGGTATAGGTCCAGGTGTATCTGAAAGACAAAAAAACACATGTTAAGGATAGAAAAAATAATTACAAATACAAAACAGGTTGAGCAGAGTAAGTAAAGACAGTAGTAGAGTGAAAATTGTGGTCAGTTTGGCCTCCAGCAGTCTAAGCCTATAGCAGCATAACTAAGGGACAGCTCAGGAAACCCAAGCCGACCCTAACTATAGGATTTAGCAAAAAGGAAAGTCTTAAGCCAAAAAAACAAAAACAAGAAAATAAGTGTGCAGCAAAAATACTGTACTGCAAAACATACTAAAAAAATTACTAAAATACTAAAAACTTACCAAAAATACTACAAAAAAAAGACACCAAAGTTGAAAAAGCAATACATCTACATCGGTGATTCGGTTAGCAGTGAGTTTCTTTCACCATCATGGTTCTGTTCTGTTAGCGGTGTGATCTTGTTAGCAGATCCAGTCAGCAGCTTGATGGTAATAAGAACCACAGCAACTGCCCTCACAAACCGCAGGCCAGAACCAGGTCATTCAGACAGAGAACATCCCAGGTTTCCCCGCATAACCGAACGGGTCCGAACTGCGTGCAGGCAGATGGAGGATCCTGTTAGCAGCGTTAGCAGGTCTTGTTAGCAAGTCCGGTCAGCAGCTTGATGGTAATAATGACCGCAGCGGCTTCCCTCACAGACCGCAGTCCAGAACCAAGTCTGGCCGAGAGAGAACATCCAAGGTTTTCCCACAGAACCAAACAGGTCCGTAGAGTTCGGTCCATGCAGGCAGATGGAGGATCTTGTTAGAAGCGTTAGCAGGACTGCTAGCAGCTTGATGATAATAAGGACTGCAGCAGCTGCCCACCCAGACTGCCCTCCATAACTGGATCCAGCAGACAGAGAACATCCAAGGTTTTTACCCGCGGAGCCAAACAGGTCTGCAAAGTGCGGTCCATGCAGGCGGATGGAAGATCATGGAGATGGCAACCATGACAGGCCAGAGCCTGAGCCCAAGGCTGGGGGGGAACTGAACCACAATGGCTGGATGGCAAGGCAGCAACACACAAAATTCCACAAGTGTGTCACGGTCATACGCGTAGTGTGGGTGTGCAGTGTAGGCATAAAAGAAAAGGTTTAAACAAGAGCAACAGGAACAAAAAAGGATCGAGGCAAAGCGGAGCTCCCATCAGTGCGGCCATGCTGCGGCGCTTGTGACGTCACAGTCAATGGTTGCAGTTATTTTTGCAACATCTTTTTAATGACAAGCTTTTCAAGAAAAACTGGACATTGTAACAAAAAGAACTGCCAACTCCAAAGCTACTAGTAAGCCTGTCCCAGCCCAGGAGAGGGAATATCCACAACTTTTAATTTGGAAACTAGAGGTACCCATGGCTTACAGCCTCTGAGCACTGCAGTTTGGCTTGCTAGGAATGCCAGCCATTTGCAGGTGACATGTTGTTTAAAATCACACTGTAATAAATTTGTGGGTCAAACAGGCAGAAGATCTAAAAATATAAACCATAAAAATCTGATTAAAATAAACACAGTTACTTTACCAGAGCAAAATCATAAAATAATTAAATGTGGATTATTGAACATCAGATCTCTTTCCTTTAAATCCCTGTTAGTTAATGAACTGATAACTGATCATCATATTGATTTATTCTGTCGGACAGAAACTTGGCTACAACGGGAGGATTTTGTTAGTATAAATGAATCCACTCCTGTTAATTATTTAAATTTTCATGTTCCTAGAACAACTGGCCGAGGTGGAGGAGTAGCTTCTATTTTTCAGTCAGGATTATTGATTAATGCCAAACCAGTTATTAGTTATGATGCTTTTGAATCACTGTCCCTCAGTCTTTCTCATCCAAAATGGAAATCAGAAAAGCCGTTTTTACTAGTTGTTATATATCGTCCACCAGGTGCTTACTCTCAGTTTTTGTCTGAATTCTCAGAATTATTAACTGACACCATTAAATACTGATAAAATCCTCATAATGGGTGATTTCAATATTCATGTTGATGTTGAAAGTGAAAGCTTAAGCATAGTCTTTAATAATTTAATAGAGTTATTTGGTTTTACCCAAAATGTCCGCACATCTACTCATTCTTATCATCATACTCTTGATTTAGTTCTGACCTATGGTAATAGTTCCTCAAAATCATATTCTGTCCAACCATTTTTTAATAACCTTTGAGTTTACATTAAATGACTACACAATCACTGAGAGTAAATTTCATCTCAGCAGGTGCTTATCAGAAAATGCTGTAACCAAATTTAAACAATCTCTTCCATCAATGTTTTCCTCTGTCTTGCAGAGTAATGCATAAGAGAACAATGACTTAGATCATCTAGTTGATCATCTTACAACTTCAATGCAAACTTCACTTGATAAAATTGCTCCACTGAAAAAAAAAGTAATCAATCAGAGGAAACTGGCTCCTTGGTTCAATTCTGAGTTACGTACTTTAAAGCAGGCATCTAGAAACCATCCATCCATCCATCCATCCATTTTCTTTACCCGCTTATTCCATTTTTGGGTCACGGGGGTCGCTGGTGCCCATGTCCAGCAATCACTGTGCGAGGGGCGGGGTACACCCTGGACGGGTCGCAAGTCCATCACAGGGCCACATAGAGACAAACGAGACAAACAACCATTCACTCTCTCACTCACACCTAGGGACAATTTTTAGAGTTACCAATCAGCCTAACATGCATGTTTTTGGACTGTGGGAGGAAACCGGAGTACCCGGAGAAAACCCACGCATGCACGGAGAGAACATGCAAACTCCACCCAGAAAGGCCCCTGGACCGGGGTTTGAACCAGGGACCTGCTCGCTGAGAGGCAGCAGCTCTACCAGTTGCGCCACCGTGCTGCGCATCTAGAAACCAGGAGAGAAAATGGCGCTCTACTAATGTTGAAGAATTTTATTTAACTTGGAAAGATAGTCTGCTAACATGTAAAAAAGTTCTCTGTAAAGCTAGAACTTTATATTATTCATCTTTAATTGATGAGAATAAAAATAACCCTAAATTTCTGTTTAGTACTATTGCTAGAATAATTAAAAGTCCCATTTCTGTTGAACTATGTATCCCTACAACTATAAGTAGTGATGACGTCATGAGATTCTTTATAAATAGAATGATTTCAATTAGAGAGAAAATTCAAACCATCTTTCCTTCTACTATCTCTAGTCCCCTGTCAAATGAGACAACTTTAAAAATTTTACTAGAACCTGATTTATGTTTAGACAGTTTTTGTCCTGTTGAGCTCTCTGAATCGTCAAAAATAATAACCTCATCCAAACCATCCACATGCCTGCTAGATCCCATCCCAACCAGACTGTTTAAAGAGGTATTTCCCCTAATTAATGTCCACATTTTGGATCTACTTAATTTGGCTTTGGTTATGTGGTTATGTACCACAGCACTTTAAGGTTGCTGTAATTAAACCTTTACTTAAGAAGTCTGACCTTGATTCAGAAATTCTGGCCAACTATAGACCTATATCTAATCTAACTTTCCTCTCAAAAATTCTAGAGAAAATAGTTGCAGGTCAGTTGTGTGAACATCTACAAAGAAATAATCTGTTTGAAGAGTTTCAGTCAGGGTTTAGAGCTTATCATAGCACAGAAACAGCAGTCGGCTTCGAGATGATTCTGGTCCACCATCCGGCGTCTCGGGGGGGGGGGGGGGGAGCGGTATGCCACCAACACTGTTTATAGTGGGAGTGGTATGCTGCTGACCTCAACTCGGGATGTTGTGGGTCGGTGGGCGGAATACTTTGAAGACCTCCTCAATCCCATCGGCAAGTCTTCCACTGAGAAAGCGGAGCCTGGGGACTCTGGGTCGGGCCCTCCAGTCTCTGGTGCTGAGGTCACCGAGGTGGTTAAAAAGCTCCTCGGTGGCAGGGCCCCAGGGGTAGATGAGATCCGCCCAGAGTTCCTTAAGGCTCTGGATGTTGTAGGGTTGTGTTGGCTTACGCAACTCTGCAATATTGCATGGACATCGGGGGAAGTTCCCCTGGATTGGCAGACCGGGGTGGTGGTCCCCCTATTCAAAAAGGGGGACCGTAGAGTGTGTTCCAACTACAGGGGAATCACGCTCTTAAGCCTCCCTGGTAAGGTCTATTCGGGGGTTCTGGAGAGGAGGGTCCGTCGGATAGTTGAACCTCGGATTCAGGAGGAACAGTGTGGTTTTCGTCCTGTCCGTGGAACACTGGACCAGCTCTACACTCTCAGCAGGGTCCTGGAGGGTGCGTGAGAGTTTGCCAAACCAGTCTACATGTGCTTTGTGGACTTGGAGAAGGTGTTC